GCCGTTAGCAGGAGGATATTCCGAGCCATGACGGAGGGCCTGCTGCGTGCAGACACTGTGCTGGCCACAGGACAATGCTCCAACCACCAGAGCCACCCCGGCCAGGGCCAATTTAACACATTGCGTACCGCATAGAAATCTCTAAGACATACGCCAGGGACCGCACATTTTTGGGCAAACTGCACGTTATTTAAATCATCATAATGCACTTTAGGTGTTGTTTTTCAATAATTATAACATTTTTATTTACAAAAACAATTAAACAATTAAAGTTCCTAGTACTTTTTTAACGTATGGTACTGCGTAAAACATTTTCCTCTATGAAGAGGGAACGAACAAAATTTACATAAGTATCTAGATTCGCTCCTTTTTCCATGGGCGTGAAAAACAAGAACACTCGTGAACGGTCCTTAACAGATGGCACGCAAAACACGAGAAAACTCCTGAGCGGTACGAAATGTGTTAAGTGGGCAGTTCTGTGGCATGAAGTCCATTCAGATGGTTGTGCAGCCATCACCACCATTCACCTCCACAATGTGTCATCCTTCCAAACTGAAACTCTGTCCCCATTAAACACTAACTCCCCGGCCCCTGGCAACTACCATTCTACTTCCTGTGTCTATGAATTTAACCATTCTATGCATACTTCATGTAAGTAGAATCATATAGTAGAATCATTTATCTTTTTATGACCGACTTATTTCACTTGATATAATATCTTCATGGATCATCCAAGTTGTAGCAGGTGTCAGAATTTCCTTCCTTCCTTTTAAGGCTGAATATAGTCCATTGTATGGACATAACACATTTTGTTTATCCCATTCATCCATCGCTGGGCACCTGGATTGCTTCCACCTTTTGGCCATTGTGAATAATGCTGCAGTGAGCATGGGATGTACAATTATTTCCATGAGACCCTGATTTTAATTCTTTTGGGTATACAACCATAAGAGGGACTGCTGGATTAGAAGCCCTATGTTTAATTTTTTAAAAAAAATATGTCTTTATTGATTTCAGAGAGGAAGCGAGAGGGAAAGAGGGATAGAAACATCAATGGTAAGAGAGAATCATTGACTGGCTGCCTCCTGCAAGCCTCCTACTGGGGATCAAGCCTACAACCCGGGCATGTGCCCCGACTGGGAACTGATCCTCGGCCTCCTGGTTCATGGGTTGATGCTCAACCACTGAGGCATACCAGCCAGGCTATGTTTAATTTGGGGGGGCCTCCCACACTGCATTCACAGGGGCTGCACATTCTACATTCGTCTCTGGGTCTTCCCATACCTGCTACCCCAAAGGGTCTCCGCAGTCCACAGGTGTGCTTTTTGGCCTCCTTCAGCTCCATGCGGCCCACCCGGACGATCTGGCACACGAGGCTGATGCGGGGCCGGATGAGGTCGGTGCTGCTGAGGTCCTAAAGAAGCAGAGCGTCACAGGGGCCACACCATGTCACCTGTCACCTTCGTTCCTCTTTTTATTTTTTAAAATATATTTTTATTATTGATAGTATTACAGATACCTTCTATTATCTCCTCCTTTCCTCCCCTCCTCCCAACCCCTACCCACCCACCACCTTTAGAATGTTGAAAGATCAAAATGCTTGCTCTCTTCTCCCTATGCGCCCAAGAAAAATGACTGTTTTTCAGAAAAATGACTATTCAACAGCGGAAAGACATTTATTCCCCAGTTCCTACTTCAAATTTATAAATCGGATCCTATTTAATCTAAAGTCCCTGGTCCATCCATTCAAGCAGGGTATTCAAAATCAGGACACTTGTCAGGGCTACTTTATATATTGCCAAGATATATCTGAGTACAGGATGCATTTCAGTGTCTAATGAGATTAAAACGCGTGTGGTACTGACATTTATTGGGTACCCACACATGCTGGTTTCCTTTCATCTTCCAAACAAGCCTGCAAGGCAATTATAACACAGAAATTTACATGCAGCGCTTTGCGTAACCGTTCCTCGGCTTTAGGAGGCATCACTGAGCGCTCCTGGGTGTATGTCGATTGATAAGTGATGTGTAGGTGAAATATCTGTTTCTTTGTAGCTCATGTTCTACACTTGTTTGTATTCTTTTTCTTTTTCATCTTCACTGGAGGATTTTTTCTTAAGTTCATTTTAGAGAGACAGGAAGGGGGGGGGGGCGAGAGAAACATCAATGTGAGAGAAAAACGCTAATCGGTTGCCTCCCATACACGCCCTGATTCGGGATTGAACCTGCAACCTAGGTATGTGTCCTGACCAGAAATAGAACTCAAAGCCTTTTCTTGGTGTATGGGACGATGCTCCAACCAAATGAACCACCAGTCAGGGCTACATTGGTTTGTATTCTTAAGGATGGGTGAGAAACCCATGAATGAGCTCTCATATCTCACTCACTTTAGCATCAAATAGAATTGAATTGCATCCCAAATTCTTTTCATGAAACAGCTGTCCAAGGCCTTTTTACTGAATCAAGAATTACTTTTCAAACAATAATTTCAAATCCATCCTCTGTAATTTACTTAAACCTCCGACATAGGAATAGGAATACAGAACAATGATAATATCAACCTTGAATTTCTACTCTTGGTTTTGTAAGGCTTCTGTTAAGAGAGAGATAATGGCTCCAGGCGACTCGTTAGATAAATTGTAGCACATTCATATTATTTAAGAATATGCAAAAACTGATAAGGTTTTTGAAGAAGGCTTTATGACCCAGGAAATGATCACTACATTCTTTTAAGTGAAAAAGTTGGACATGAAATGTATATACAAGAAGGTCCTAGCTGGAAGGAGGGATGGGGGAGGGAGATGAATTGCAGCTATGCAGAACTGATTAGAAGATGGACCAAAGATTCAATAATGCTTTTTAAAATCTTCACCCATGGATACATTTCCATTGATTTTTAGAGAGAGGAAGGGAGAGGGAGAAAGAGAGAAACATCTATTGGTTGCCTCAACCGAGGATGGAACCTGAAACCTGGGTATGTGTCCTGATGGGGAATAGAAGCCAAGGCCTTTCCGTGTGCAGGGCAACACTCTAACCAACTGAGCTACACCAGCCAGGGCCCAATAATAACTTTTTGAAATGTGTTTTCTTTTTTAATGTACACAGTGACTGATAAATGCCTTCTGATTTTAGGGAAAAAACTCCCATATCTCAGAAATAAGGAAATACTCTATGTGTTGAGGGCAGGTTTTGGGAAGAGTTAGTTCCAAGGGCTTTTTTATCTACCTTTACCAGGTGGTGAAGATACAGATGGGTCAGTGCAGAGATAGGCATCAAACCACGCCTGTCTTAGGGATGGGATGTTAATAGAAGAAATGAATAATAATGAGAAATGAATGGATGAATGAATGGACAAGCCCATATGGGACCACTGCTCCTTCCCATCACTTCATTTGGAGCTCTACCTTAGACTCTGCTTTCCTTGCCATAGAGTGGTGAGAGGGCGTGGAGATAAAACAGGGGTGTGGCTTAAGGAAAAAAAGGGGGAAAAGGAAGGATGTATCTCCTTTAGGCCCAATGGTTGCTGGGGAAACCTGTCTTCTGTCTTTCCAGAGCAGGAGGCAGCAGCTCTAGGGTATTTCGAGCACTGAAGTCATAACAAAGTGAGAGAATCCCGAGAAGGTTCTTAGCCCGAGTGAAATAGAGTCACCATGCCCAAGCTACAGCCCAATAAATTTCCTTGTCTTGATGCATATATAGCATTACTTCTCTTACCTTGAAAGGAGGAAAAGGAAAGGCCATTCAAATATATGCAAACAAGAAAGTCCCATCTTTGCCTGAGCTGTAACCTGGTTCTGAAATGCTGGGGAAATGCTAGTGCCCCTGATGAGCACTGCCCACTCCCTTCAAGTTCTTGCTTAAAAGGCTCCATCCCAGAGTTCTGCCTGATACACCTTTTTTTTTTTAAATGGCAACCCTCCCCCAGCCCAGAAACACCCGATCCCCCCAAAACACTTAACACACTGCGGATGGATCATTAGAATTCCCGCTTCATATTACACAGTGTTTTACAACTATCATACTTTAAAAAGATATTAGCTTGTAAGAATATGTAATAAATAACTTCAAAATGCAATGGGTATTTAATTTTAAAGCATGCCTTTAACATTTATATAAAAACGTTTTTTGTACTCGTTCAATAGAAACTTATCTGGCCACTGGGCAAAGCTAGCAATACAACTACTGGTCCGCAATGTGTTAAGATTGCTAACATTCTACAGGATTTACTCATTTATTTTATTACTTAGAGTCCCGGTGCACAAAATTCGTGCACTGGAGGGGTGTCCCTCAGCCCAGCCGGCAACCTCTCCAATCTGGGACCCCTCAGGGGATATCCGACTCCCCGGGGAAGCCATGGGGAGCAGCAGCTGAGACCTGCCCCCTGGCGGGGCTGCGGGAACTGTGGCAGCAGGCGGGCGTGCAGAGCAGCCGGCCCCGCCCTCACTGTGTGTGCCGCCATCTTGTGACAGCATTACGGTGTGAGGGTTAATTTGCATATTGCCTCTTTATTATATAGGGTTGCCTATTACTGTCTTTCCCATTTGGACAAAAGCTTCTTGAGCAAACATTTTTATGATGTGTTCACTGATGTATCTCAAGTGCCCTGATAGTCAGTGTCCAGCATCTAATAGGTGCTTGACAAGTATTTGTTGAACAAATGAGTGGGTTATTCCTGCTAGGGGGATTATGATGACTTTTGTTTGATAACCTGTATTTTCACTGTTTCATGTTTTAATGTTTTTCATATACCTATCCTGTGCATCCACTAATATCATAAAAAAATAAAATGATTAAACAGAAGGTAGGACTTACAGTGAAAACCGCCTGAAGGTTATTAAGCTTCTCGATTTCCTTGGGCATCCCGTTACTGCCCCAACGAATTAGGTAGTTCTCACTGGTGAAGGAGAAAAACTGATTCTTAACAAGAAGTTAACTGGGCTTGGAGCTGCCCACAGTATAGACTGGCAGGGTAAAAGCAAGGCCCAGAAAAGCTGTTAAATTCATCAGGCGGGTGTGAATGGAGCCTTCTGCAGCCCAGCCCCACAGGCACACCCTGTGTGGACCGGGGACAAGCAATGCTCAAGATGGACAGACACAGCAGATTCCATCTGGGGCCTTTCTTCCACCTCAAATTCTGTCTAAACGTTTCAGCTTTGCTGAATCAAGGATATCATTTTATAATATTCACTCTAAATCCTTCCCCTGGAAAACATATCACAACACTCAAATACAATTTCTATTTTAGAAATAAACAATCTGTTTTTAATTACTTTTAACCATCTTGTTCAAAATACATCTTAGCTGCTCAGCAGTAATGCCACTGTAGGGCCAAACAAAGCCTATTATCATTCCCACTAGTCATCAAAAATATTGTATAGACTTTATCTATTAGGGCAGTTGTAGGTTCACAGCAAAGTTGAGCAGAAAATACAAATTTCCCATATACCCCCTGCCCTACCCATGCACAGCCTCCCACTATCCATGCCCCCACCAGAGCAGTGCATCTGTTACAGTCGATGACCCTACATGGATGGACACATCAATTATCACCCAGAGTTTACATTAGGGCTCACTCTTCGTGTTGCACATTCTATGAGTTTGGACAAATGTATAATGACATGTATCCACCTCTGTGCTCTGCAGAGTCAGCCTTCCCCACACCTCCCCTATTATCTTTTGAGCTCTGTGTTCCCGTCTCTGTGTTCTGATGAGTTTTACGTGATTTCTAAGACCCGGGGAGTTCACAAACTGTTATTGCACTATTTCAGCAGCCAGACAAAACGGCTTTTAGCCCAAAGGATTTTATTTTCTTCTGCCCAGAAATCTTTCCCACTCTTTTCTGTCTTCCCCTCTCAAACCTAACCTCAGGCAGGGTAGGTGAAGGCTGGATATTTCTGTGAGGTGGGCAGCTGATGGCTGGGTCTCTATTACCTGATGAACGTGGACTGGTCAGGGTCATAGAGGGCCATGAACAACTCTGCATCTTCCCCGATGTTGCACACAAAGTTCTTGAAGTTAATATAGAGGCCGTAGGTGTGGAAGGTATTGAAGTTGGACTGGCCCCGCAAGTCCAGGTTCTGCAGGAGTGACTGAACACAGAGGACAAGAGAGGAAAGCACCTTGTTTTCAGCAAATGGGAAATATTGGCAAATGCGCCCGGCCGGCGTGGCTCAGTGGTTAAACTTTGACCTATGAACCAGGAAGTCTCTGTCCAATTACCAGTCAGGGCACATGCCTGGGTTGTGGGCTCAATGCCCAGTTGGGGGTGTGCAGGAGGCAGCCAATCAATGATTCTCTCTCATCATTGATGTTTCTATCTCTCTCTCTTTCCCTTCCTCTCTGACATCAATAAAAAAATGTATTAAAAAAATTGGCAAATGGGGGACAAGCAGCTTGTCCTGTATGGCTCAGTGGTTGGCCCATGAATGAAGACGTCACCAATTCGATTCCCCATCAGGAAACATGCCAGGGTTACAGCTCCATTCTCAAGGGGGACATGCAGGAGGCAGCCGATCGATGATGTTTCTCTCTCATTGATGTTTCTATCTCTCTCCCTTCATCTCTCTCTAAAAATCAATAAAAACATATATATTTTTTTAAAATGGGGACAAGTTTGGCTCAGTGAATAGAGCATCAGCCTGCGGACTGAAGGGTCCCAGGTTCGATTCTAGTCAAGGGCACATGTCCAGGTTGTCGGCTCGATCCCCAGTAGGGGGCGTTCAGGAGACAGCCAGTCAATGATTCTTTCTCATCACTGATGTTTCCCTCTCTCCCTCTCCCTTCCTCTCTGAAATAAATTTAAAAAAAGGAGGACAAATAATAATTACCACCCAAGAAGAGAAACTATATGAAAGTGGACAAATAATCAAGTGAGCAAAATATAATCATTATTTACATAATCAAGACTGTCCCGTTCAGAGCCTTGAACCCAAGTAATTGAATAGCTGCCAAAAGGTGATAATTCATGATTTTAGTAGCTTCAAGAAGTTCTCATCTCTCACAATCACTTCTGGATGAACCTCAAAGGCATAAAAATCACGATCATTATCCTTCTTTTGGGGAATAACTCTCACTGCAAATAAGAGATTCCACTGGGAAGCTTCACTCTCAGGCACAATTAACCATTAAATCCAGAAACACAATTAACGTATTATCACCACTGTGCTAAAGAAATAAACCTATAACTAAGAAAATAAAAGAGCCCTAACTGGTTTGGCTCAGTGGATAGAGCACCGGCCTGCGGAATCAAGGGTCCCAGGTTCGATTCCGGTCAAGGGCATGTACCTTGGTTGCGGGCACATCCCCAGTCGGGAGTGTGCAGGAGGCAGCTGATCGATGTTTCTCTCTCATCGATGTTTCTAACTCTCTACCCCTCTCCCTTCTTCTCTGTAAAAAGTCAATAAAATATATTTTTAAAAAAATAAAAGAAAAACAGAAACTTCTACTTATTATAACAGAAAGACTGCAAGACCTTATACCTAAATATCAATATGGTTAGGCAGTCATAAGACAGGTGAGTAACGTTTCTCTTTTTCTGTACCTTTCTAACTTTTAGTTAATGTCCAATTATTACTTTCAAAATCTTTCAAACACTTTATTTCTTAATATTGTTTAAATTATTTTGAAAATTGTAATACAATTTTCTAAATATAGAAGGTTACATGGTAAAAAGGCTCCCTTCCACCGAGCTCTTTCCCAGAGGTACCCATTAATTACCAATTTCTTGTCTATTATTCCAGAGTTAGTCAACACAGAAGCAAGCACAAATGTATGTAATTTTTTTAATTGATTTTAGAGAGGAGGAAGGGAGAGGGAGAAACATGGATGCAAGAGTGAAACATCAATCAGTTGCCTCCTGCATGTGCCCCAACTGGGGATAGAACCTGCATCCTGGGAATGTACCCTGACTGGGAATCAAACCTTCTACTTTTCAGTGTATGGGACAGTGCTCCAACCAAGGGAGCCACACTGGCCAGGGCTGCATATTCTTTTTTGAAACACAAATAATAGTATTTCATACACAGTTTTGCATCTTGCTCTTTTTTATTTAATATATAGTTTTGCAAACTTTCCTCATCAGAACATACCTATAGCTGTGTCATTCTTTCTGTTACATTTAAAATGAGGGCATAACTGGTTTTCTGAACAACATTTTTACCTTGTGGTCAACAACTCCCTTTCTCTCATTAAAAGCAAAAGCAAAAATAGAACCTCAGTGGCCAAAACCGGCATATTTGAGGAAGATTACCTTTTCTTCTTGAATCCTTTCCTCAATCCTTTTTGAGGCCATTTCATGCACCTTGAAGAGGGCAATCGTGCTGGTTTCATCTGGGTCCAAGATGTTTCCGTTGTCATCTCGCACGACCAGATCTAACCCAAGTATTCTAGAAAGAAAGGAGTGGTCAGCTGGTCCTCAACAGAAACAGACTCCTTCCTGAAGAGCCCTCATGAGAGAGCCAGGAGTCATGGTGAGGAGGTATGGATGCTGGACAAGTCAAGAACAGCTCATTGGCTTGTCTCCTTTCAATTCCTGTCTACATGCCATTTCACAGAGTTTAAAAACTTACGATAATACTAGAGGCCCGGTGCACAAATTCGTGCATGGGTGGGGTCCGGCCTGCCTGCCCTGACTGGGGCTGGGCTGGCTGGGGGGAGGGGCTGCAGGAGGTTGGCCAGCCGGCCCCACCCCTGATTGGGGTTGGGGGGGCGGGGCTGATCGGGGGCTGGGCCATCCGGGGAGGTTGACTGCCTACTCCGCCCCAGATTGGGCCGGTTGGCTGGCCGCTGTGTGCGTCATAGCAACCAGATGTTCTGGTCACTCCAGTCACTTGGCTTTTATATATATATAGATTAACCAAACTCATATAATGATTTGCAAAATACTTTGGTCCACAGAACCTCACCAGCAAAGGCAAGATTGGCACTGACCAAATTCCTCTGACCAATGCTTCCTCCCTGTTTGACATAGGAATCATGAAAGGTCACTGCATAAGTATTGGGGCTTGCCCTGCCACCCTTCAAGGTGCAGGCTTGGGGGACAGTACTAATTCAAGACTGTCTTAAAGGAGATCAATGAAGTAAGGCCTGGCTACTGGTATCTCCTGACCCATTTCAGAGTGTGGGCCCTGGTATCAATCAGACCAAGATTTGAATCTTGGCTCTCATACTTGCTAGGAAGGTGGCTCTGGGTAATTTAGATAATTTTGCAAAGCTCTGATTTCCTGTAAATATTCCCCACCCTTTAGGGCTCTTGGGAGAATTTAATGAGATAATGCATGTAAAGCATGAAACAGTATCTAGTGTATAGTGTACACTCAACAAGCGTTAGCTTTTATTGTGGCAACTGGCACAAGAAAACACCTGACTGAGTTAAGATGTAATTCTGAGTAATGACAGGAAGAGAGGGAGCTATATGGCCTGTGCATGGCACAGTCCCAGCAGGGCCCTCATGTCCAATGTGCACACAGAAGTAGAAGAAACTGTACTCAGTTCCAAGAAGTGGGGACTGTGGTGGAAACAGGATACTGCTATCTGAATGCCCAATGTACATTCCAGGCACGGGCAATTTGGGACTAGGAGTGTCCAAACAGCAAGAAAACGCAGGGATAACAGTGAAATGTGCCAAATCTTTGGGAAGAAAGCAGAAATGCCTCATTTTCCTCCTCCGTGTTCTATAGCATCTCCATCAACTGATTTCATCTGGCAGGTTCCTCTCCATGGCAGCCAGACCCACAGGCCACCCAGACTCATGAGCAAGGGGCCTCGGTGGCTGCTCAGAGACTGGATCATGCTGCATTGACGGAGAAGCTTCATTACCTGAGCTGCTTCCAAGTGCTGGAATGGGAAGGCAGGCCTGTTCTGCTGTTTGTAGGAGGTTAGCATCTGTGCCAGAGATCAGGGTCTCCCAGGCCAATGCCCAAAACTACAGAGGCAGCATATGTGCAAGGAGACAGCTACCGTATGCCACCTTTGCTGATTTTTAGGTCCCCTGGCACTAATGATTGGCAAAGCAACCCCGGTGGTTATAGTCCTGTGGATAGACAAGGGACGAGGGTGGGAACTGCTAATTCTTAACCCGAAGAAAGGAGCATTAGACATAAAATAGAAAACTCTTGGGTTCAACTTAAGCTTTCCCACTTATATCTTTATGACTTGGAAGCAAATCACTTAAACTTACTTGGTCTGTTTCTTTAACCATAAAATTGGAATAGCAGCTACAACCAGGTAATACATGTGAAGTGTACATGAGAGAGATTTCATAAATAATGGCTGAGTCTGAACATTGTATGCTATGTTCACTCTAGCCGTTTCTGAATCCAGCTGTCAAAGTCTACAACATTTAAACGACTCGGACAATTTTAACAGGTCTTTGAAGCATTTCCCAGAGTCGTGAAGTTGAAGAAGTAAGGCAAAAAAAATCATATATGCACAAGCTGAACACATTTAAAAAATGAGGCTAAATACCAAATCAATCATCAATAAAAACAAAATGAGGAACCAACCCAGTCTTTTAAAAAGAGCCAGTCAGGAGGGATAAACCCTAGGTCATCATAAATTTGACGAATTGACTGAATTTCTCATTTTCTAAAAGGCAGTACTAGAACCTACATATCTGCCTGAGCTAATCAGATAAGTAAGGAAGTGATTAACTCTTTAGAACTTATTGGAGTTACAATCAACAGGCTAAAAACATGCTTTACCTGGCAAAAACATGCTAAAAACTGGCAAATCTGGACTTCCTGCACTTCTGGTTAGGCGAAGATGGAGAGAGATTGAGTCTGACACTGACGTAAAATCCAATGTTAAAATATAAACA